TAGGGCTAAGGGAATAAATGAAAAGCTGAATTAATTTGGCTGATGAGAAACAGTAAAATGACTGATGGAATGGCTGAGTAGCGGATGACCCATGTAGCTTGGTGGTCTTAGGGCCTCACGACTTTGATTATGGCGGAATGGGGCATAACATTTGACAATTGTGTTCCAGGAGGATTGCAAAATTAAAATGGCTGAGTTTGGCTACTGGAATTTGAGGCATAAATTGAGTGGAAAGATTTGATAAGGGGCTCCTATTGGCAGTGCGTGACATCCAATCATCCCAAATTAGTCTCTTTTAAAAGCTTTGTATGAAAATTTGGAGGCAGAACTGTGGCGAAAATGTTGAAGCACAAATGTGTACATGGCAATGTCTGGTGGGGAAAGCATGCTTGCGAGGCCGACTCCTAGAATCTGACCGAGTAGGTCTGCCCATTCGCGCTGGGCCGACCACTCCGTGTCGGACGTTGGATTGTCCGCCCAATCAGCTTCAAGGCCGACTCCTATAGTCTAACCGAGTAGGTCCGCCCATTCGCGCTGGGCCGACCACTCCATGTCGGACATTGGATTGACCACCCAATTAGCTTCGAAGCCGACTCTAAGAGTCTGCCCGAGTATCATTTCTTATGCGAGTTTGGAGGATGAATTTTTCTACATATGGCGAGCTTAATTTCCAGTCACATGTGCCGCACAATAGACTTGGATATATTCTGGGCGTGGCAAGAAAATACATTCCAAAATATTGCTCTTGAAATTTCTCATCTACAAGGGGCTACATAAAGGAAGAAAAATTAAAGCTACAACCGAGAATCAACCCGACTAAAAGACGTGAGTCAGTAAAGAAAGAACCAAGAGTCCAAGCTCTTAGAAGTTTACTAGAAAAAGAAAAATTATAGCCAGGAGTCGCCTCGAGCAGGGACTCGGCGAGAGAAAAAGAAAAGAAACAAGGGCTAGGACCCTATGAAAAAGCCAAAAGAGTCACCTCGAGTAGGGACTCGGCCAGAAAAGATAGGAAACAAGGGCACTGACCCTTAGACGTTTCCGAGAAAAAGCCTACAGGAGTCGCCTCGACTGGGGGACTCGGCGAGAAAAGATAGAAACGACGAGGCACTGACCCTAAACTGTTTCTGAGATAGAAAAAGCCTAAAGGGTCGCCTCGACTAAGGGACTCGGCGAGAAAAGATAGGAAACAAGGGCACTGACCCTTAGACGTTTCCGGGAAAAAGCCTACAGGAATCGCCTCGACTGAGGGACTCAGCGAGAAAAGATAGAAACGACGGGGCACTGACCCTAAACTATTTCTGAGATAGAAAAAGCCTAAAGGGTCGCCTCGACTTAGGGACTCGGCGAGGAAAGATAGGAAACAAGGGCACTGACCCTTAGACGTTTCTTAGAGAAAAGAGAAAAGAAACAAGGGTTCCGACCCTTAGACGTTTCTAGAGAAAAGAGAAAAGAAACAAGGGTTCCAACCCTTAGACGTTTCTAAAGAAAAGAGAAAAGAAACCGAGGCACTGTCCCTTAGACATTTTCTTAGAAAGAAAAGAAGTTATCACCCAAGAGTCGCCTCAACTGAGGGACTCGGCGAACGAAGAAGGAATCGAGGGTTCGAACCCTTAGGAGTTTATTAGAGAAAGAGAAAGTTACAGCCGAGAATCACTTCGACGGCTAAAGAAAAAAGGGGCTCGAAGCCAGAAGGTCACATCTACTGAAGCAGTCGGTCATATGGCAAACGAAGAGAAGTCATGAGGATGGAGTCGTGTGGAATCTTGAATAAAGAGTCGGCAAAAATCGAGGGGGCTAACAAAGGGAATTTTAAGGCAAGACAATATACTTTTCCATGCCCTGCTAAGCGTGAGACATAGAAAAGTGAGGGACTAGTTGATGGGGTGTGAACCCCGTGGGCTCGGGGCCCAAGAAGAAAATAGATAAAGCCCGGACGATGAAGAGAAGCCCAAGAAGAAAATGGAGTAAGCCCAAAAGGGACACGAGCCAAACCAAGGAGTCGACTCGACCCGGAAGTCGGCACGGGTAGGAAGTCGGCCTAAACTAGCCGTTAGTACATTTACTACCCTATTTGCCTACCTCATTACTATCCCATCACTACCCAATTTAATATCCATAACCCCCCAAAGTAAGTATCTTATTAAAACTACCTCATCCTAACCCCCCAACTTAATACCCTTAATCCCTACTAAATACCCCCCAACGTCTCTAAAGCTCCTTTAGCTATAAAAGGGGGAAGGCAGCAAGATCAAAGGGAGGGGGCTTCATCATGGGAGAAAGTCACCACGTACTCCACATTACAAAACATAGAATACCCTTCCCACGCCACTCATCCACACACATGGGGGCACTCTCCCACAACCACTCTCCACTCATTCAAGCAAGAAGACCACATGAAGAAGATTCCATTCTTGAGCACAAGAGAAGACTCCACCACTCTTCCTACACCACTCTTCCACACATGAAGAAGACTCCATATGGGAAGACTCTTCCACCATTCCATCAAGAAGCATACTCGATCTCTCGGTATCAAAAATATCTTTATTCTTACACAATATCTCTATATACAAAATAGCCATACAATATGTACAAAGACACCTACAAAATACATAGTGGAGTTAGGCTTGGCACCGCCCAAAAAGGCCCGTGGTTTTCCTTTCGGTTTCCATGTCAAAATCATCGAGTTCATATTAGTTTAGCAAGCTTTTTATTGAAAGGTGTATCCTCCAGCTAAAGGTTGTGTTGGACCTCCTTGGGCCCGAAAACCCAAAAACCATCAATTATTATTATTATTATTATTATTATTATTATTATTATTGTTGTTGTTGTTGTTGTTGTTGTTGTTGTTGTTGTTGTTGTTGTTAGGAATATAGCAGAATAATGCGGAAGCGACGAATCGAAAATTGAGAATTATAGAAGTTAAATAATAGGGAAAATATATAAATGAAGAAAATTATATAAATGACAAAAGAATAGAATAATATATATATAATAATCTCTTAAATGAGAATACAAAAATTATATATATATATATATATATATATATATATATATATATATATATATACACGAATACGTTGGAAAGCTAATAGAGGAAAGAAGAATGAATTCTGAATTGAGGTGATTACAAATGCAAATTAAGCATGCTATTTATACAAAAGAAAAATAGAGAAATGCGGAGGATTAGCGCATGTAATGGCATGCAAATGGAGAATGCATTGGTAGCTATGTGGAGAGACATGCGGCAGTGGTGCGGTACGTGTGTCATGTAGAAATGCAGCTACTGCGTGAAAGACTCATTCTCCGTGGATTTGAGGCACAAATATATTATTATTTCTTAACAATCTCCACCTTGGATCAAATCCATTGTGGAATTAACAACTGGAACAGTCGACTAAACTCAAGCACTGCATGAACTTAGCAATAGAAAGAACCTCAAAATAGTAGGATGGATCACCATCAACTTCCTGTGTGACTGAAAGAGCATATGCAACCAAGTTGGTTTCATCATCATCAACATACCTAGCAGGTTTTTTAATCCTCCTAGGACGATTCATAGCAATGGAATACTCTCGTTGTAGCTTGACGAGAGGTGTTGTGCTAGTAGATGCATCGTCTTTAGTATTACCATAACTGGTAGTAACACTATCAATAGGCCTGAATTCAAACTCCACTGCACCTTCTCACCAGTACTCTGCGTCTCATCTGTACTGGGAACTTTTCCAGAAGAAAATAGTGCATTTTCGTCAAAAGTGATATCTCCACTCAGAATGATTTTCCGAGAATCAAGAGACCATAGACGATACCCTTTTAACTCAGAGGCATAACCAAGGAAAATGCATTTGACAGCTCGCGGGTTTAATTTACCGTACTGGAATGAGCATAAGCAGGACATCCAAAAACTCTTAAGATAGAGTAATCAACAGGATTACCTGACCAAACTTCCTCTGGAATTTTGAAATCAAGGAATGAATGTAGAGATATATTTACCAAATAACATGAAGTAGAAATTGCCTCGGCCCAAAAATCACGTCGTTTCCATAACCCAGCATTAGAGAGCATACAACGAGCTCTTTCCAATAGAGTCCCGTTCAAACGTTTGGCAACACCATTCTGTTGGGGTTTATCAGGCAAGATCTTGTGCCTGGCGATTCCATTTGCCGCACAAAAGTCATTGAAATCTGACTCACAGAACTCCAAGCCATTGTCTGTCCTGAGCTTCTTGACTTTTTTACCTGTCTGAGTCTCAACAAGTATTTTCCACTTATTGAAAATAGAAAATGTCTGATTTTTATGTTTCAGGAAATAGACCCAAACTTTACGAGAAAAGTCATCAATAATAGACATAAAATATCTACAACCTCCCATAGACTGGAATTTAGTTGGTCCCCATAAATCAGAACGTATGTATTCTAATACATCTTTGGTATGGTGCGTAGCAGTAGAGAAACTAACCCTCTTTTGTTTTCCAAAAACACAATGCTCACAAAATTGTAATTTACCCGTACCTAAACCACCAAGGATCACTTTCTTGCTCAGGAGATGCATGCCTTTCTCACTCGTATGCCACAGACGCATATGCCATAGTTGAGTGAGATCCGCATCAGACATCGATGAGGATATCGCTACTGAACCTGTCACTAGTACAAAATTGGGAATATGAGTTGCACTTTCTAAGACACCTTTACAATGGAGGTGTTGTGGATAGAAAATTGTAAAACTTTTTGAGGCACCAACTGCGAAAAGGTGCCTCTGAAATTATATTATTAAAATAATAATAGGAGAATCCGCGACACCCACTCAAAGAGGTGCCATGGATATTATATTATTAAAATATTAATAATGGATCCGCGGCACCTTTTGAAGAAGGTGCTGCGGATACGTTTATTATTATTTTAATAATAAGGGAATCCGCGGCACCTTCTAAGTAGCCGCGGATAATGACCACAAAAAGACCTCCTAGACCACGAATATAATTGCTCTGCCCCAAATTAAAACAAATTGCGAATTCTCTCAAATTGCCCCAAATTGCCACCGTGAGCCCTAGTAGACCACGACCACCAATCTGATTCTCTCAAATTGCCTCCGCCGATCTGATTCTACTCCGCCGACCAAGACTGTCCACGATCTGAGCCTCCGTCGTGAGCCTCAGCCGACTGCCCGCCAAGACGCCGTGTCTCCTCTGCTGTCGCCAAGACGCCGACCGCCCTCGCCGTCTGCTCACCTGATCGATCGTCGCTGCTCACAGGTAATAACTTCTTTTTTTTTTTTTTTTTTTAAAAAACAGTCTCTGCAAGCTAATTACTTTGATAGTCTCTTCGATCTATTTTGATAGTTTCTTCCAATCGTCTATTTTGATAGTTTCTTCGATCTCTAAAAGCAGACCTAGGGAGGCTGGTTCTGGTTTTTGCATCACTTAGACCATTACAATATTAAAATATGATTAGGTGTTGTTTGTTGTTCACAATATTGATTATGTATATTTCTTCTGTTAAAAAAGAATTCACAATTGTTGCTTAACAATAGTCTGTTAATTAAGAAGGAAAGGGCAACCATGTTGTCATTGAGCTTAACAATAGTCTCCAGATCCGGTTAGTGCTCAGATCTGGTGCTGTGGTGGAGAGAGACGACGAAATGTCACTTCTCCGCGAGGCTCATCAAGCCTTCTCCGAGAGCGCACGCATCTTCATCCATTACCTCTCTACTGTGTAAGTTCTCTGGATCGCTCAAATAACCTATTTCTGCCTTTTGTTTATCCGTAATTCCATTTTTATTATTCTTTTTGGAGTGATAGCTGATATGGCTTTGTATAATTAGGGATTATTTAATCTTTGCGGAATGATAGAGTTGCTTTATGTAACATGAATTAATAGCTTCGTCTCACTAATTGTTGTAAATTAATTGATTAATATTAAAAGGGTCACGTTGTCACTACTTAGAAAATAAAGAAAAATTCACAAGTGCAAAAAAAAAAAAAGTTTGCTTTTTGATTTCTTGAGTTGGCTTCATATGATTTCGAGTTTATCTTTTTTACTTGTAGTGCAAATGATGTATGCATGGAGTCTAAGAGGCAAACGATGAATGCAGAAGATGTTTTCAATGCTCTTGATGAAATAGAGTTTAGTGAATTTATTGATCCTCTCAGAGCTTCTCTTGAAGGTTAGTTTTTGTTTATTTACTGGTGTATGCTATTTTGAAAGATCATCTTTTGTATTGGTTGATTGATTTTAAGTGATCCCAGTTCTACAATTTTCTTGGTTATTACTGGTTTTTTGTCATCCTTCAATTATTTTCCTGTCCTTTAGATAAATGTTACTGTTTTTGGTTTTAGCCAGATGTTTGCTCCAATTATGAACTACACAATGTTAATCATTAATGGCATCGCTTAGTTTGTCTAACAAACGTGGAATAGCAAGGACCAAAATACTTTCACCTTGCACAATATTGCAACTGACATATGTGCCTTACCTAATCTCTGTACAGAACAATTTATATTTTAGTTTCTTTCTCTAAACCTCATTGTTTGTTAGAACGCCTTTAGTGCTTCTATAGCAAGAGTAGCCATCTCTATTGACAGGAGCAGAACAATAATTATGAACAGTAATGACCAACATATTCACTAATTGGAGGAACTGGCTGTCATGAAATTTAACTGCTTTAATTATCCAATTTTTGTGCTTCTGTAATATACACCATTTTGTAGACATTTATGTAGTTACATATGTTTAGGATACATGATCTATTTCTTTTTTGAAACTTTTTTCCTGCTAGAGTCATGTATGCCTTTTTTCTATATCATATCCATTTCACTGAAAACTATATCTTTTTTCCTAAAATTTACTTGTTGGAATTACTTTTTTATCTCCAAATAGCCAAATGTTATAATTCCTAGCCTCCACAATGCCAGCCAATTTGTCCCCATATTTTATATGCCTCCACGAAATGAAAAGAGTTCTGTCAACTTTGATCTGCCTTTGTTGCTTCTTCTTCCATTCCCCTTCTACCAAGCTCTTCAGCCCATTTCTTGCTTGAAAGAGTGTTCAATCATCTTTAGCATTACTGGATAAGTGAGTGCCTTGAAAGTAGTAACTCATTCAAAAACATGTTGCCTATGGAGTTTGACATTGTCAGTTCATTATTATCTTAAGTAAATTCATAAACAAATTTGTCTATTTGTTAGAGAAGTGTTGCTTCTCCTTTGTGCGGCTTTTTCCCTCTCAATTTCAATCATTCAATCTCCTCATTTATCATATTTCTTTTCTGGTTTAAGTAGATTAGGAATGCATGGCTAGCAGAGAATGATAGAATCATTTCTTGGGAGATATGCTTTAAGCCGGCTTGTAGGGATGAATTATCAAGCACGGTTGGGCATGATGGTTGCTGGAGCATATGGATTCCCCCAATTTCGCATGCGTGTCTTCATGTGGAGAGGAGAGGTAATAAAATCTCTTAAACTAACTGATGACCTTATTCATTTTGCAGAAATTGCCACAATATCCATTGCAAACACATAATATTGTTGTGAGATAGAATATGCATAATTAGTTCTTCCATGTTTTTTAATCTGTTGGCAATCTTTCTTTCATGACTGCAGCTAAAAGTAAGTCTTCTATTTCCCTAACAATTCCTGACTCATCTTTGAACTATCAGTTTACCTCCAGGTCGAACTATTCTGTCAACCTCCACCATCCAATCCGGTGGAGTTCAATTTGCCTTCTTGATGGTTACTAGCTCCCAACACATGGACACTGTTAGAGCAGACATTTCTGGGAAGAAAGATGTGACAGACCTGAATATATCATTCAATTTTGTGGGACAGAGAGTCAAGGAAAGGAAAGGAAAGATTGAAGTCCTCCTCCTCCCTTTCCATATCTGCACATCCTCTTCAAGCTTAAGCTTATTTTTACTGTGTAATTTTGTGAAAATTTCTTTGTTAAACTTTTCCTTTGGCTGTAATTTTATTTATTGTTTTATAAAATTAGCTGCTTTTATGTATGTGTATATATATATATATATATATATATATATATATATATATATATATATGTATATATATATATATATATATATTTTTTTTTTTTAATAATAAAGAGGTATCCGCGACACCCTCTGCAGAGGGTGTCGCAGATAGACTAATTAACTGCGACACCCACCTGTGCGTGGGTGTCGCGGATATGCATAATAATAAAAAAATAAATGACTTTCTGAGGCACCTGCAGCGTAGCAGGTGCCTCGGAAAGTCTGTATAAAAAAAAATAAAAAATTATTGGATAGCTTTCCGCGACACCTTATACGGGTGTCTCGGAAAGCTAACCACTTTCAGTGTCACTGGAATCCGAGTCACCTGTACAGGTGACTCGGAAAGTATTTTATAGGTGACTCAGAAAGTTTTTTTTGTACTAGTGTGTCACAGTACTGCCACGCAAGACGTACAAGCTTCCAGAACGAGAAGCTTTCATGAGAACAAGAGAACCTTTTATGACCTTCAGAACTCCACCTTCAGCTATGTGCTTGCACCCTAGAGATTCCAAGGTGCCCAAGGATATCAGATTGCGTTTCAAATCAGGAATATACCTAACATTGGTAAGAGCCCTGATAACGTTATCATGAGTTTTAATCTGCACACTTCAAATTCCACTAACCTTGCATTGGGTATCATTACCCAGCAAGACAATTTCACCATCAACCGGTTCCAGAAAGACGAACCAGTCTTTGTGAGGACACATGTGGAATATAATGTACAACCAAAGTCCAGAATCCACTCGGTTCCGCTCCGTTGCAACCAGAGCTAACAGATAACATAACGTCGCCTTTTGAATCACTTTCAACAACACTAGCTTCAACGAACTTCTTTTCTCTCTCTTGCTTGTTCTTCATCTTGAAGCATTCAGTCACATCATGACCCTATTTCTTGCAGTACTTACAGGATTTGTTGGACTTACGTCCTTTGAACTTGGATCTAAATTTTTTATTGCTACTCTCTGTTTCAAGTGAGCGACCACTTACAGTCAAGCCTTCACCTTTGTCCTCAGACTTAATTTCAAAGTCAAAACTTTTCTTTGGACAATAAGTTTGACTTAACATTGTCGAAAGTAAGGGTATCACTACTATTACCATAGAGTATAATTTCTTTGAAATGCTTGTATGATTTAGGGAGAGAGACAAGCAATAAAACAGCACGATCCTCATCTTCAATTACGACATCAATATTCTCCAAGTCCAATAAAATAGATTTGAATTCATCCAAGTGAGTTTAATAGAAGTACCTTCTGTCATACGGATTATGAACATATGCTCCTTCAGGCGTAACGTGTTCGCCAGAGTTTTGGCCATGTAAAGCGTATCCAGCTTGGACCATAAATTTGACGTAGTCGTCTCACTTACCACCTCACGTAGAACCTCTTTAGACAGACACAAAATAATGGTTGAACGTGCCTTGTCATCTAAATCTTCCCAATCTTCATCTGTCATTGTAGCCGGTTTCTTCTTCTTCCCAGCTAGCGCTTTCTTCAAACCGTTATGGGTTAGAACGGCTTCCATCTGAACCTTCCAGATAGAGAAGCTAATTTTCCCGTCGAACTTCTCGATATCGAACTTAGTGACAGTCGACATCTTTGAAAATAATTCTCAATTAAACCGCTCTGATACCACTTGTTAGGAATAATGCGAAATAATGCGGAAGCGATGAATCGAAAATTGAGAATTATAGAAGTTAAATAATAGGGAAAATATATAAATGAAGAAAATTATATAAATGACGAAAGAATAGAATAATATATATATATATATATATATATATATATATATATATATATATATGAATACGTTGGAAAGCTAAAAGAAGGAAGAAGAATGAATTATGAATTGAGGTGATTACAAATGCAAATTAAGCATGGTATTTATACAAAAGAAAAATAGATAAATGCGGAGGATTAGCGCATGTAATGGCATGCAAATGGAGAATGCATTGCTAGCTACGTGGAGAGACATGCGGAAGGCAGTAGGCCTGGCTCTGGGCAAGGGCAGGCTGGGCCGTTGCCCAGGGCCCCATCGCTAATAGGGGCCCATAGGCCATAGTGCCATAGATATATAGTATCTATAGTATATATATATAAAAAAATTCTTTTAATGTTTTAGGTCAAGTTCGCGTATTGCGAAGAAGCCGAAGTAGTCAACGAAGACGAGGAGTGGGAGGACTGGAGGAGACGCCCACCACTCACGCCGCCTTGCACCTACGCTGCTATTTATTTTCTTCCCAACAGTAAAAATGGAGTCATCAATAAAAGCTCAGATTCCTCAGAAGCAAACTCACCATACTGCAAATCTATTAAATCACCTTCACGGTTCTACAAATCCAAATTTGTTCTCCGTTCACGGGATGAGAGTGGAAGCGATAGATTAATTCAATAACTGAATCTGAATACAAATATACTCTCTTAGAGAGAGACCTAAATAATAGGCTTAAGACTAGAACAATTATTCTATGCTACAATATACAATAGAATAAATATAATTAATAAACATAGTCTAACACTCCCCCTCAAGCGCAAGGTGGTGACAGACGACATTGAGCTTGCTACGCAAAGTACCAAACCGTGCTGCTGGAAGCGGTTTGGTGAAGATGTCCGCTAGCTGATCTTTAGTCGAGACAAAGTGAACTTGGAACTCTCCGGAAGATACTTTATCTCGAACAAAGTGGTAATCCACCTCAACATGCTTGGTGCGTGCATGGAACACAGGGTTTGCGCAGAGGTACGTGGCTCCAAGATTATCACACCACAGTGCGGGTGGCGTGGAAAAACACAGATGAAGCTCCCGTAACAAGGACACGATCCAGGTGACCTCAGCACAGACATCGGCTAACCCCTTGTATTCAGCTTCGGTGGACGAGCGAGCCACAGTCCGCTGTTTTCGCGAGACCCACGAGACCAGATTAGTCCCCAAATACACAGCGTATCCGCTCGTAGACTTCCGATCTACTGGGCATCCGGCCCAGTCCGAATCCGAGTAAGCATGAATATCAGACGACACAGAAGGTGAAACACGGAGACCGTAGTCGAGGGTGCCCTTAATATAGCGGAGCACACACTTAAGCAGCCCCCAATGATCTTCCGTAGGAGTATGCATAAACTGGCATAGACGATTGACCGCATAGGACAAGTCTGGCCGAGTGATGGTGAGATACTGCAGGGCCCCGGTGAGACGACGGTAATGAGTCAGGTTGTGAAACGGATCTGTAGATTGACTAACAGGCTGTGTCACGGCTGCTGGAGTGGCTAGTGGCTTGCACTCGGACATGCCTGCTCGTTGAAGAATGTCCCGCATGTCAGAATCATGCCATCTGGGGTCGTAACTGTCTCTATGCCAAGGAAGAAGGCCGGCTTTCCCAAGTCCCGGATTTTGAACGCCGTGGACAGCCGACGCAAAAGAGAATCAATCAAGGTAGTGTTATCACCCATCATGATAATGTCGTCAACATAGACGAGTAAGAACACTCGGGAATCCCCTGCAGAGTAGTGAAAAAGGGATACATCTGTTTTGGAGGCAATAAAACCTGTCACAAGCAAAAAGTCATGCAAACGATTGAACCAGGCCCGTGGAGCCTGCTTCAACCCATAGAGTGAGCGCTATAAGTGGCACACATAATTAGGATGATCCGGATCTTCGTAGCCTGGAGGCTGCCTCATGTAGACAGTCTCGGATAGATGACCATTTAAAAAAGCGTTATGGACATCCAACTGACGTAGGGTCCACCCATGGGACACGGCAAACGAGAGCAATAACCGTACTGTGGTCGGCTTAACCACCGGACTAAATGTCTCGAAGAAATCCTCGCCAGCGACCTGGTTAAAGCCCTTGGCTACTAACCTGGCCTTGTAGCGTTCTACCGTTCCATCGGCCTTACGCTTAGTGCGAAAGACCCACTTGCAGCCCACAATATTCATATTCGGTGTGGCCGGAACTAGCTGCCAAGTGTTATTGTGAAGCAAGGCGTTGAACTCTTGATCCATGGCATCCCGCCATTGTGGATGCCCAACAGCCTGCGAGTAACAGGTCGGATCTGCCGTAGTGGCGGTGAGAGCGTGAAACGACTCTCCAGTGCCCCGTGTCATACGCCGAAGCCGCATAACGTGGTCCCGTTCACCTGGTTGAGCCCGTTGTCTCCGTTTCCTGGGTGCACGAACAGGTGCCTGAGGAGGAACAGGAGGCGATGGGGCCGGAACAGCACAACTGTCGGGAGTCAATAAAACAGGACTTGACCCCCACGGAGAGGCATGCACTTCAGGTGTTGTATCATTCCGTTTTAAAGGACCTATTTCAAATGGAAAATTAGTCTCGTCAAAGCGGACATGACGACAGATATAGGTTTTCCCGGTGTTAAGGCACATGCAGCGGTAACCCCTAAAGGACGACGGGTAACCTAAGAATACACATGGACTCGACCGATACTCGATTTTGTGACGGTTATACGGACGTAAGTATGGGTAACATAGATACCCAAACACACGTAAGTAAGTGTACGTGGGCAGAGTCTTATATAGGCGGAAAAAGGGTGTATCAAACTTTAGTGAGGCTGACGGTAACCGATTTATAAGATAAGTTGCTGTTTCAAAGGCATGATCCCAATAGCGCTGTGGGACAGACGCTTGGGCCATTAACGCCAAGCCAGTTTCGACTATATGGCGATTTCGACGCTCCACACGGCCATTTTGCTCGTGTGTGTAGGCACACGACTGCCGGTGTACTATTCCTAAGGACATGAATGTTTTATGTAGCTTTTGGTATTCCCCCCCCCCCCCCCCCCCCCCCAAATCAGACTGAACGGACTTGATAGAACATGAAAACGTACGTTCTACCATCGCCCGCCAAAGATCAAAGATTTTATATATATATATGTTTTTAGACGTAGAGGATAGTACCAACAATAGCGAGTACAGTCGTCTACGAATAATACAAAGTAGTGGGA